CGTTTCTGATCTAGGGTTACATTTTCACAATAGACATTTATACACCATTGGATAGAGAATTTAAAGGGCTACATTTTGGACTATTTATTTTTTAAAACACTCGAAGTCGACTTTTTGGCCTAATGTCCGCTTAGTTGCCCACTGTGCGTCGTCTTTGTTACTTTTCCTTATTTCATTCATTATATATTCTCTATATCTCATTGTTCTATGGTTATTGTGCATGCAACTTTTATAATACATTTTTTCTAAAGGCATTTCTAATTTCGACTAGTCCAGTCCTAAATCAACACAAGTTAACTTATAATTCCATTTCTCATAATGGATACTAAGTCTTGTTAGTCTAATTTCTTCGATAATTTAAAGTATTTACGTAGTGAAATCTTAAATTTTATTTATGGATTGAGGATGCTAGTTAGATTCTAAAGGAGGAGGTCCCATAAGGTTGATACTCAGCCCGCTTCATTTTTTGTCTAAAAACGATTCTGTAAATAGTAGAAAAGTATTATCATTCGGTTTAAAGTAATTTCGCGTACTTTTGGTACCTAAAATCGGACTAATTCTTCGTCAATTGGAAGCCAATAGCTCATTCCTCAAAGATTTAGTCATAGGCTACGTAAAAGATATTTCCTCATGTTTCATTCACGTGGACAACAAAGTAAATATATCGTTGGATAGCCCCTAGAATCCTCTGCAGAATGTGTGTAACATAACAGTTAACCGCAGTGCTTTGATAGCAGCAGGGCGCTTAGAATAATCCTGCATACATTATAGTAGACAGTCCTCGCTTGTGTAGTCCCTTTTTCTTCCACAAAAGAATACATACATTTTTCTATTGCATATCATTTTGAAGCTCTGAAATCTGCTACAAACGGGCAAGTTCAGAATTTCAAGATCGGTGGGACCAGTTCTAGAAAATGGACAAGAAGTAAATCAAATAGGAAAAAATGAAGTGAGCCAATTATCAACCTTAGGCGGCCAACCGTCCTTCCTTTGGCTGAACAATCTTCAGCGAAAATTAAAATCAAGAATCTAATCTTAATTTTGGCTACAACACATGTAAAACATTTGATGAAGATTTCCATTTAGATTTCATTTAGGTGGAAACTACATTGGATTGCATTAAATTTTATTATAGAATATTTCTACTGAGTCATAGTCTATCTGATGTCATCTATCAGATATTTTTCGTAGCATGAAAAATCCAAAATTATCATTTTTCACTACATGTAAAACTTGAAATAATCTGTAAGTTAGGAAGAGAAATGTTTTAGTACAATACATTATTCAGTTTATATGTAACTCAACATGTTCTACAACATATAAAATCAGTCTGATGAGATAATATTTCCTTGCATTCTAGTTTATTCTTAATTCTTTTTTACTAAAAAGACATTTTCTTATTTGATGATGATGATGGAGTGTATCTGTAAATAGGAAGGACAGACTATTATTTAAAAAAACAAATTATGACAAGAATAAAATCAACTGTTTGTGGAGGCAAATTTGAAATCATCCTCTGACGATGTATTGAAAATAAATGAATACTTTTTATGCTTCGCTCTTTTTTAAAAATCCAATTTTTGACGGACGACATTGTTTGCCTTCTATTGTATAATATAAAAAACTTTGTCAAAAAGACAACAACAAAATCTTGTGTGGTATATAATGTTTCACGTGTACATTTATTTCAGGCATTTTTTTAGTCAATTAGTGTTATATTTGCTTCTTATAAATAATGATAATCTGATGTCTTGTTATTTGGAAGACTGCACGAGCGATTATTTAATAATGACTATTCGAATGTTGCGATATGGTCTACATACTCTACATATTCTTGTTATAGTAAATATTATATTTTTTATTCTTATTTATCGTCGCTTAATCCCGTTTGGTCCAAGTAATAACTCTGAGAGTAATGAATCTTCTTTATTCGATTTACCATCTATATGTTTAATACCAAAGTTCGATCCATGGCATCCTACTATTGCAAAAGTAATTCGTATATCACCTGTTTATCGTTGTCCGACGAATAAAAAACCACTCGTTGATATTATTAATTATTCACAATTAAAAATAAATCAAACTGTAAATCAAACATTATATAGAGGTAAAATAACACATTGTGTCTACTATAAAATTGGACGTAATCCCGATGAAGTACATTTTCGAGATTACTCTTATACGTTAAGTAAACCAATATTAATTCAAAGTGGAGTAACGAATGAAGTTCAAGATGCTGATTATGTTCTAACAAGATGTTATAATGATCCAACAATTCTATTTAATGGAAATATCTCCTGGTAAATAGTGATTGAACATTTGAAGTTTTGACAAGATAGTATCATCTTTTGTTTTCAACAAAAATTTATCTACAAAGGGTTAAATATAGGTTAAGTTTTCTCAATCGATTAATAAATTCTTTCGTTCTTCAGTTCTAAAATTGATGATTGAATTTATTGAAATTCAACATATATTTGCACTCGTTACATCGATTGTTTCTCATAATGTTTAATAGTTTAGCAGGATCAAGCGATGTCATAGAAATGAAACGCATTTTTTTCATTCTCCAAAGTTGTTACCCGTCATTCTTGTATATTAGGAACTTGTTTCGAAATCCAACAATAATAACGTAATAATTTTAAAATATTATTTTCGATTAGATGCAAGTGCATAGAAATCGGCAACAGTTAAAGATATTAATCAGTAACTCCTGTATCTTGTCTTACGAAGAACATACTAGTTTAGGAAAACTAATTAGATGACCAAACTTAGCGTTTTAGTGGTACATTCATCTTATTGGAACGTTTTTCTATTTTTAAGTATATATTTTTTAGTGATTACAGTTGTGCAAAAGATCAACAATCAACAATCTCCAACCATCCTAATTCAACAACCAGCTATGTCAAAAGTCAAAACCTTGCATCTAAATCTAATAAACTCATTCAAGAACACGTTCTCACATTAATGAGACGTAAAAAGCCACCATTTTCTTATGAAGAATGGGTTCGTTCTTCTCAAAACTGGTGGCAAAAGCTCAGTCAACCAAAGATAATGCCACCAAGTATCTTATTCATTATTTTGGATGCTGTTAGTGGTTTACAAGCACAACGCGCTCTACCACAAACAGTTGCCTATTTAAAGTCAAAAGGTCTCTATTCGTTCAGTCGTCATTCAATCGTAGGTGATGGAACATTTGATAACATTGTACCACTGTTTTTTGGTAAACGCTCCGCAGATTTATTAGTACCAAATGTCAAAGATTTACGTTATAAATTTGAAACAAAGGAAGCAAGAATGCAAGATAAAAAAAAAGTGTGGGTAAAAAAGGTTGTTCATTATCCAGGACCATTTGATAATGATTCATTTATAATGAAAAATTTTTCAAGACAGTTCAACTACACTACGTTCTTTAGCGAAGAATGGAAAGAAAGTGCATTTTATAATTTAAAAAATGGTTTTCATGAGCAACCCACCGATTTTTATCTACGACCATTTTGGTTAAGTGTTTATGACAGTTCATCCTATAATAAATTCTGGGGTAAGTAGTCTTTTATCTAGTTATTATTACTACTATTATGTGAAAACTCCAATAAAACATTAAAATTGTTTGGATGTTAGATGTTTCTAGTTTTTCTCGATCAATTATTGAAAATCGTCAGTCTGTAAAAACTTATTTAATATTTCAGGTAATTCCAATCCAAAACCATGCTACCTAAACAAATTATTACATCATCTATCATTAGACTGGTTAAAACAGTTCCTTGAAGTACATTCAGGCATAGATCAACCAAAATTTGGTATATTAAAATTAAATGAAATGTCACACGATTATATGGAACGTTTGTTTTGGATTGATCATGATTTAAAAGCATATTTAGAAGATTTTTATGATAGAGGTTTATTGAATAATACAATTTTAATGTTTTGTGGTGATCATGGTCATCGACAGCATCGAATACGTTTAACAAGGATTGGAGGCATGGAAGTTAAATTACCATTTTTCTCCATGTTATTACCTAATTGGTTTAAAGAAAAATTTCCAACAGCAGTTACAAATTTGGCAAATAATAGAGGAGGTAAGACAGAGATTAAATCTAGGCTAATCTGCACCACTGACGTCATATGAATTAATTTCAATAAAAAGAAATAGAGTAAATCTTGTTTCAATTCTCCTTCTTCCACTTCACATTTTTTTCAATACGCTTTCAACTATAAAACTTAATCGTTTCAAATACTTTCTTTTCTAAATACAAAAGAAAATAAGCTTGTGCACTCATTTGTTGAAATATTTGTTGTCAACGAGTGTTTAGTCTTGTGATTTTAATCATGCGTTTATTTTGGCACTACTGATGTCAGTCAGGACTTAACTGAAATATTTTTATGAAAATGTAACGTTTCTAAACGAAATTTAGACATATGAAATCTATACATATTGAAAACACCAGGATTTTGAAATTTTTAAGTAATTTATACCACTAGTACGGTATTGAAAATGAAACTCATGTGATATAGCTCATCTATTATACTGAAGAGATAAGATTATCAACGAGAGTTTACGTTTAAAATTATCGAACATTGACCGATCTTTGGCGTCCTTCCCTTCTCGAACATATATTACTTAAATCATTAAATGAAATCACTAGATACTTCTGAGAGGTTCGACATTTCTGTCTTGTTGAAGCTGTTCTATCAAAAATTTTCTTTTATTTCAGTTTTAACATCTTGGTGGGATGTTTATGAAACTTTAGTTAATATTTTAAATATGCTGGAAAATCCGTCTATATTTGATCCACTAAAAGTAAATTGGAAATCATCGACACCTGGCATTAGTTTATTTCATCCTATTCCTGATCGTAATTGTATATTAGCTGGTATTCCAGAAAAATATTGTCCATGTGTACGTTCGAATCCGATCAGTATTGAAACCGTTATTATCAAACAACTTGCACTCTATAGTGTTTCATATATCAACAATCAAAAATTAAAATATCATCAGCATTTATGTATGCAATTAGAATTAAAAACAATTATTCAAGCTGAAGTTGAAGTTTTACCAACTGTAAAAAATAATAAGAAAAATGTCACATTAAGTAATTTTACTCATTCGTATACGGTTCTATTCGAAACAGAACCCTCGAAGGCTATATTTGAATCTAAACTTCTATATGATCCATCAAGAAATGTTATTCAACTTCATTCGGATATGTTGAGAGTTAATCTCTATGGACAATCATCAACATGTATCCAAGATAAATATGAGTTGAAAAGTTTCTGTTACTGTATAAGTTATCATCAACAACTACTGGCTATGACATCATCAACGCCCACAATTACCACAACATCTAATGCAATTACCACAGCATCTAATGCAACTACCACACTCTCTCAATTATCTAGTTCCAAACAGATAAATAGGATAGAAAAAAAATTATAGAAAAATTACTGTACACAAAAAATATATTTTTTTACAATCTAGTTTTGTAATGAAAAATTCACGCAAGAGATGGTACGTGCAAGTATAGTTTTGCTTTTATTTTTAGTCATCAACGCATTCAGACTCTCTATCAGATGAAATCTGACTATTTATAATAATCTTTCGAATGAAGACCGTGTGAGTTCGCTTAAATTTTCTTCATATAGAAAACGACTTTTCCACAAAAGTAATTGAGCTGATATCCACTATCTACTTCAGGAAACAATATGCTAGAATATTGTATTAACAATTCTGGATAGAAGATAGACGAAAGCGTATGCTTTCTGACAATACGTACTACTCACAATTTGGCTCTACCAATTAATAAAAAATCGTACACATCAAAGTATTAGGTGAATGTGGAGTATTGGACATGTCTTTGTGAAGTTACTCTACACTGTAAAGTCGGGAATTATTTATAGAAAATGCTCGGTGATTTTCAAAAAGTCCAGATATAAAATCTTCACGAATTTTTCAGATTATAGAAAATCGAATTTCCAATCATGTAGAAAATCGACATCGATTTTCTACATTGTTGGGAGTTATTTATAGAAAATCCTCAGCGATTTTCTAGATAATGAGAAAGAACAATTTGAATGAGAATGCTGATGATCAGAGAGAGACTTACGTGAAAATAGCTGAAGATAAACTTTTTCACCATTATTAAAAGCTATTGAACTTCGAAGCTGAGTATTATTTCAGCTTATTGGATGACAATATGGATCTTTTACTAATGAAAACCAAATTCGACATTCGCTCACTTGTTGAACGACTGTTATTTTATTTAAAAAATAAAGAAAATAAATGTAAATTGTTAGAATCTTGTCTTTGAGTTAATATAAACAAGTACATTTTTGGAAGATGCTAAATTCAGACATAAAAATGAGGAATATCAGCAAGAGCAAATCACTTTGCAATCTTCAGAAAGTTGCGGTGGAACTCGATTATCTTAAACAGGCAACCCAGGAACCTTTTCAGTACCTCTTTGTGATCTCCAAGTGTCATATAGCAACAATACTTCTCGAAGAATATACTGATTTTCAAAAATTAAGAGAACTTTCCGAAGCTACTAACATTTCCGATGTTTAATACTAAAACGAGCAGAGATCTGTTATGCGACACCTTGTTGCCATGTATAGACTTTGATAGATGTGAAAGAAAATCACTGAGTCGTCTTCTTAGCAAATCGAATTCGATTTTCCAAGTATTTAGAAAATCGCTGTCGAATTTCAAGAATATTCGGATTTATTTATAGAAAATCGATTTTGATTTTCTAGATCTGGAAAATCGAGTCGATTTTCTACAATGTTGGGAATTATTTATAGATAATCGCTGTCGATTTTCCAACTTTTTAGAAATTCCTTGTCGATTTTCTGGCAAATGAGAAAAGTCAATTTATAGAAAATCGAGCGGATTTTCTATAAAGTAAACAGTCAAAATTGCTGAGAATTTTATAAAAGTTGGAAAATCCTTGGCGATTTTTCAGATCGATTTTCTATAAAGTAGAAAATAATTCTAAATTACAGTGTACCATTTTATGTTCTCACGAATTAATGTAAATATCATTGATTATGTATAAGTAGGTGACGCAAATCTGAGATCTGCATCTACCTGAGTTCTCACATTGTATCAGTATTTTTTAGAAGTAGGTGATTTAGACAAGTTCGAGACTCTTAGAAACAAATGGAAGCATAGATTATCTATCATTCTCAAATAAAAGTTAGAAAAATCCTTTGAGAACGTTTCTGAGAAGAATAACTGCTTTTATGATTAAATTATTACTCATAAAATATGCAGCAAGACAAAGCTTGCTGTTCAACCTAGCCGTATGCATTTCATACTATATTAATAGCAGTAAGATCTTTGAAGAAAAGACAAATAAAAAAAATTTTTCATTCAAGTTGAAAATATTTAATTGTCAGATTAACTTAAAATTTCATTTATTAATTTCTATAATATATGGAATTGTCTTTCGTTTAGTTTTTTAGTTTATGAGTTTTTAACGTTATTTTCAGTCGGTATGAGTTTACATCTAGTACAAGAAGACTTCATCGTGTTTTGATTACTACAATCGTCTTTTTTACATAATCAGATCTACTGTTCATCATATCGAACTCTTTCTTAAACATGAGAGTGGTAGTGTACAGTATCCTTTGAAAATTGAAAGTGAATTTTATTGTTTACAATAATCTATGTTTTAGTTTTTGTTGTATCAATATCTAATTCCAGTGATTTCTAATGTTTGAAAAACCATTGTTTTCTCTTTTTTTATTGTACGTGTGTATATTTGTTATACATATTTCTACAGTAATTTATATTTTTATGAGAACAATAAAATGAAAAGTATGAGCGACAACTAACGATGAAAATGTGATACTGTTACCAACTTTGTAGATATACACAGTGACAAGAAACTTTGCTCAGAAAAAGGATTTGCACTTCTATTAAATCTATTGGATAAAAATAATCAATATAAAACTCTTTAGAAAAGCAAAATTTTCTAGATATTTTTTTGAGATGTTTGAAAAGTATCACGAATTTTAGATATAGTGAGTAACAAAATTGATGATGCATCCCTCTTAGAAGCTTATGATTAATATTTCTTCAAAAACAGAACAATCTGCAAAATTCGAAGTTTCGCTAAAATGTTCGCTAAAATTGTAGTTTATTTGCTTAAAATAGAAAGTGTTTATGTCATATAGGTTATTATGTTAGACCAGGAAGAGTGAAATGGGCAACTTTCTTTTAGAAATGATTGCAAAATTCGGAACTTTTCTCGGGGTTCTGTAAAAAAACCATTTTTTGAAGTGTGCACTGTGGAAAAACAAGCGCCCCTCGGGTGATGAATGGGACGCTTAAAATAGCCCATAGTAGGGCACTTTTCTTGATGGGACACATTTTTATGCTTGAAAGCACCCGGAGGAGGGCACTCAAAGTGTCCCATTCATTGTCCATTAAAGTGCCTTTTTTAGCTGTCGGAGCACTTGTTTTTTTAGAGTGTGGGTGCAGCACACAATCATAGTGTCATTTTTCCTGTATATGTCGAACAAATTGACTTGCATGATCTTCAAAAAGAAAAAAGATTGGAAATTTTTCGATAAATATATTATAGGTATCATATTTGGGCCAATATTTCTAAATACACAGTGAATAACAAAATTGATCATACACCCCTCATATAATGTTACAATTAATATTTATCCAAAACAGAACAATCTCCAAAATTTGAAGTTTCACTCGAATGTTGCAAATTTATTGTACTTTATTTGCTTAAAATAGAAAATATTTATGTCATATAGGTATTATGTTAGGCCAGAGAGAATGAAATAAGCAGCTTTCTTTGTCCAATAAAATCATACAGTAGGATTTTAATTAATTAATTTTAAATCAAAGAACGAAGAAAAAGAAAATGAAATACAAAACAGTCATTTTTTTCTAATGCTTCTAATAAAATATTCATCATGAGGAAACATTTTCAAGGTTTAAAAAACTTAAGCGTCTTTTCAGTTTTGTGTGGAAAATCGAATAAGCACAATTTTGAAAAAAAAAATCTTTTCACATAAAAATATAAATTCTTTACCAGAAGTATTAAAAAAAAATATTGAAAAAAATAACTATCTTTTTTCTTCGATCTTAGGTTTAATATTCTGAAGGCTATATGAATCAAAAAAGCGAGAAAACCTGAACAAAATACGCTTATTTGGCCAAATTAAAACTAAAGTCTCTTGTATAAAAAATTAAAAAATCCAACTGTATGATCAATTTTCTGTATGAACTGTATGATCATTTTTTAAAGCAAATAAACTACAATAAATATGCAACAGTCTAGTGAAACTATCGAAAAATTTCCGATCTTTTTTCTTTCTGAAGATCATGCAAGTCAATTTGTTCGACATATACAGGAAAAATGGCACTATGATTGTGTGCTGCACCCACACTCTAAAAAAAATGGTTTTTCATAGAATCCCAAGAAAAGTTCCGAATTTTACCCCATTTCTAAGCCGTTCTAAGATTTTGTGCGGAACGGGTTTTGTACGAATCTTCTATAGTTTTTTGTTTGGAAAAGATTTCGTAACGAACTTTACATCGAGCTTTTCTCGAGCATTAGTTACAAGTTCGAAAAAGGTCGATTTTCTCTTTGTCTATTCACAATTAATTCTCTTTTTCTCAATGCTTGCTGCTTACTTTCTTGGAAACGGTTTAGAAACTTTAGTGCCAGTATAACAAGAACAAATAAAGTGACGCATTTTTGATTTCATTTTTAAACTGTCTGTATTCAACTTGTGTAGCAAAATATAATAAATAATAACTCATAGCCTTATGACGACAAAATGGGCAAATAAAACCAGCTGATGAAATAACACATAGGAAAACGGCAAAAACTGGGCGTGAAACGTCTTCTACAAAAAATATCCTGTTTCTGTCATGAACTTGAAGAAAAAAAATTCCTTTTCTCTGCCTAGGTCAAAAAATCAGATCAAGATTTTACAAGGTCTTATAAAATCTTACGGAAAATCACAGAAATGGATTCATCTTATAAAAATCATACAAGAATCTTACGAAATCTGATGAAATCTTACTATAAGATCTTACATCAAGAATTAGCTTCTATGTTTCTTACAGAATCTTACAAATTCTTATACGAATCTTACGAAATCAGACGAAATCAGACGGAATCGTACAAGAATCTTATAAGATCCTACAGCACGATTCTTTGACCTGGATGGGAGAAAATATCTTATCTGTACATATAATAAAGAGAAAGAGAGAGAGTTATGATTGTTATGAATAGGGGTGGCACATTACTGTTACTTTTACGAGTAATCCAAATATTGTATATATTTCTATTACCAGTAACAGTCATACTTTCCAGTTTTACTGTTGCTGGTAATAGGAATGTTCATAAAATTTGTATCAGCAACAGTAAAACTGGAAAGTATGACTGTTACTGGTAATAGAAA